TCCGGAATGCAGCCAGGACCCATAAAATTTCCCAAAAGCATTTCTTAGGGATGGAAAGAAGTGGTCTCCATCCCACATGTGGGCTATGCCCACTTTATGGGCTATATCCACTTTCTTTAATGTAACTAATAATGATCCTTCATTCCTGTGATACTGACCAATAATATGGTTTCTGTTCTGTTCTTTGTTTTATGCTTATGAAAATTAGTTGCATCTTTAATTTGGGGTCTTTGGCATGAATGGAGGCAAGTCATTGACCTTTTATTATGAAGCTGTATGCCCCTGTTGGGGGTAGCTAGGTGGCACTAGCTAGAAAGAGTGCTGGGTCTAAAGTCAGGAAGATACATCTTTCTAAGCTCAAATATGGCCTCAGATATTTACTAGCTGTGTGACCCTGGGCAAGTCACTTAACCCTGTTTGCCTCCATTTCCTCATTTGTAAAATGAGCTGGAGAAGGAAATAGCAAATCACTCCAGTATCTTTGCCAAGAAAACCCCAAATAGGATCACAAAGAGTCAGACTGAAATGACTGAACAACAAATGCCTATTAATAGATGATATCTTGCTTGGAGAAGTTGCCTTAGTTTACCTTTTTGATAAATTTGACATGCAACATACTCTAGTCAACTGTTAAAGAATATTAGTTTCAGAGAAGTCTTATATTCACAAAGAACATAAATTTCTGCCTGCACTGAGGGACTTTCTTTACCTAGAAGTTTTCTTTACCAAGGAAATCACAGGACCAGTTCCTATCCCAATGGCTTTCAAAATCTGAGTGACAAAATTTCATTCCCAAGACAAAGGTAAATAATTAAAAACTTCTTTAGTCAGAAAGATCTAACTCTTGCCAAAGCCATTCAAAAATTTTCCATTCAATGTAAAGGTAACCAGAGGTATTTCTAGGCTTATTTCTTCTCTATTCAAATGGAGACTTTAGCACTTCCTGTTTCCATTAATTCATGGAATCATAGAATCTCCAAGTTGGAATGGACCACAGAGGCCATCTAGACTAACCTGTAAATGTTCAAGAGTTTCCCTCTACAAAAAAACTGTATAGGAAAACATCTAGATTTTACCTGAAGACTTACTAAGAGAGGGAACCCACTCCCAAGGCAGATCATTTCACTTTTGGATAGCTCTAAGTAGTAGGAATCATTTTTTTTTCCATAATGCAAATTTAAATCTGTCTCTTTGTAATCTCCCTCCATTGCTCCTGAACTTTTGCCCTCTGGAGCCAAAAAGAACAATTTAAATTCCTCTTCTACACCTGCCAGTCCTTCAAGTACTCGGGAAAGAGCAATATACAGGGTTGTAGGTGCTCTCTCCATGCAGCATCAGATCACACCTTTACAATTTATTAGATGTTCTCTGACAATTGCTTCAGTCAAGAAATTCTTCTCCCTGCTGTTGCTCTAGTGACAAACTTCTCTGCTCAGTCGGTCCTAGACAACAGACATTCAGTCTTCCAAACCCTTTCGGATTCATAGGACCTACCCAAGCATATACTTCCCTGGCACAGCTTATAAGAAGCCTCAATGAGGCTTTATGCACTTCGAAGGAAGTTATATGTGATGTAATGTAATAATAAGATATAATTAATATAACACTATATGTTATATAATATGTGTATATGTATGTGTGTGTGTGTGTATGTGTGTGTGTATGTGTATGTGTGTGTGTCTGTATACAGAGCGAGAGAGACCAATAAACAGACAGAGCTACTTAATGGAGAAAGAACTAGTCTCAGAGTCAGGAAGTCCTATATTTAAGCCTCACCTTGGATATCTACTGGCTGTGTGACCCTGGGCAAATTACTCAGCCTCTTAGGGCTATGGACAACTCCTTAAAATTCTAATTTTCAGAGCAGGTCAAGATCTGCACTGGTAGAGGGAGCTTCCTATATGGATGAAATAATAGGCACTGACCATGGCAACTATGACACATATTCTCACTGCCATGATTACTGGGTGGGTAAAAGAGAGAGAAATTCCCTTTTTGCCTTGTTAGAAAACCAAGAAAGAGCTGGCAGAATTTCAAAAGAGAAAAGAAGAGAGGGAGTGGATGGGCCTTTTTCTTCTATGTTTATAGCATAGTGAGTGGGTGACATTTCCAAGCTCAGTAGACAACCTTCTCAGTCATCCTGTTATAAGGAACCACTTCATCAACTCAAAGCACAAGCCTTTTAGAACTTAACCAGAACATATCTCTCCATGGAGCCAGAGTATACATGCCCCGCTACATTGGAGGTGTCCCAGGCAGCAGTGAAGGGACGTCCTTGATAACTCCCCATTATATTTGTATCTATGTCTATGTCTATGACTATATCTATGTCTTACCCCCATCTGTCTATATTTATGTCAATGTCTATATCTACAGTTGCTTCTCATTATTCAGAATACTTATGTTCTATAAAATCATCTCAAACACTGAATCAGTGAATACTGAGCCATTGCTCCTAGGGGACATACAGGGTTAGGTTCCTGCAAGCCTCTAGTCACATTTACTTTAGCATTTTTCCAGAGCAGCCTCAAGTACAAATTGATAGATTTCCTCTTTCTTTTTCTGGGTGTGTTGCATTGTTGATTCATTAACATTGAACTCACAGCCAATAATACTATAACTCTTGCCTGAATGAGACTTTTCTAACACCTGTATTTTCTCTGTAAGGGATATCACAGCCTTCTTGTGCTTAGGAAAACTAGATAACACTTCAGTATTCCTCTGGGGTGAAATCACCATCAAAGAACACAAAAATGTGAAAAAAATGGCACTAAACTTGGAAAAAGATATCCATTTATAATATGAAAGTTAAAACAAGAAGGCAGAGCATTATTACCTTCTCATTCACCCTCAGCTGGGAATGTGTGCATCTGATGACTCAATTTTTTTGCTGCTCTACACTTTTGATCCTCCTAGCAATCCTGGGAGGCAGATGCTGTATGGTTATTCACATTTTATAGTTAAGGAAACTGAGGCAAGCAAAAGTTAAGAGTCTTGCCCAGGATTGTACAGATCATCAAGGGCGCATAGGTTTCACCATATTGCCCAAGGACCCATGACATAAAAAAAATTAAGAATACCTACTCTACATATGAATGTAATGGAATATTATTGTGCTATAAGAAATGACAAGCAGGTAGATTTCAGAAAAATCTGGAAAGACTTGCATGAATTGATACTAAGTGAAGTCAGCAGAACCATGAGAACATTGTACACAGTAACAGCAATGTTGTGTGATGATCAACTATGAATAACTTAGCTCTTCTCAGCAATATGATGATCCAAGATAATTCCAAAAGACTCATGATGGAAGATGCTATCAGTATCCAGAGAAAGAACTGATGGAGTCTGAATGCAGATCAAAGCATGTTATTTTCACTTTCTTTCTTTTTCATGTTTTTTTCCCCTTTTGGTCTGTTTCTTCTTTCACAACATGGCTAATATGGAAATATGTTTTACATGATTGCACATACACAATGTAAATAAAATAAAATTCTTACCTTTTTAGGGAGGAGGGAGGGAGAAAATTTGGAACTCAAGATTTTTAAAAAATGAATGTTGAAATTGTCTTTACATGCAATTGGAAAAAAATAAAATAGTATTAAATAAACAAAAACGCCTACCGCAGACTTTTTCTGAGTCATAGATCATGACTTGGGTTGGTATTTCTATATATACAAAGAGGTAAATCCATATTATCGGATCAAAAATAGAAGGGAAATAATAGAAGTTTCCTATTTGAAAACAGAGAGGCCTCAAGGCATTCACAATCTCACTTTCAATTAGTCAGAAAAGACTTGGCATTTCAGAATGACCTCTAAAGCACAGCAAGCATTGATTTTCAAGTTATAAATAAATTTCAGCAAGTAGGTGAATTCATAAATATGGAATCTAAGAACAATAAGGACCAACTGTATATCTACATCTAATATGTGTCAGTCATTCATTCAATAAACATTTATTAAGTGCCTTCTATGTGCCAGGCACTGTTCTAAGTGCTAGGAATGCACAAAAGACAGTCCCATTCCTTGGAGGAGTTCACAATCTAATGCGGAAGACAACATACCAACAATTAGGTATAAACAAGATACAGAAGGAAAGCACCAGCATTAAGGGAGATGGGAAAGGCTGCCTATAGAAGGTGGAATCTTAGCTGGGATTTAAAAGAAGCCAGGAAAGCCAGGAGGAAAAGACAAGGAAGGAGAGATTCCAGGCATGGGGAACAGACAGGAAAAATGCTGGGAATTGGATGATGATGCATCTTGTTGGAAGAATAGCAAGGAGGCCAATGTCACTGCACCAAAGATGGTGTAGTACACAGTGGAGGATTGGGGAGGGTGTCAGATGTAAGAGCAACTGGACAGGTAGGGGGGCAGGTTATGAAGGAATTTGAATGACAAGCAGGATTCTGTTTAATTAGGGCAACATCCACATATATGTAATTTGTTGTTCAATTGTTTTTCAGTTGTGTCTGAATGGGTCGTGACCCATTTGGGGTTTTCTTGGCAAAGATACTGGAATGGTTTACCATTTCCCTCTCCAGCTCATTTTACAGATGAGGAAACTAAGGCAAACAGAGATTTAAGAGCTTTGTCCAGGGTCACACAGCTAATAAGTGTCTGAGGCTGGATTTGAACTCAAGAAGATGAGTCTTCCTGACTGCAGTCTTATCCACTGTGCCACCAAAACAAAATAGTCAAGTGCTAAAAACAAACAAACAAACAAACAAAAAAACCCAAAAAAACCCTGCGAAGAATCCCTACTTAAAACTACCTTTCTGGAGCAGGAGACTGTTCACATCAACCCCACTCCCGACTCACCCCAGCACCCCCCTGTACCCCTTACCTACAAGGCAGTTTTCAAATCTCATTCTCAAGTTTTAAGAATGGCTTTTTCCTCTGAACTCGCTGTCTAGGATTAGAAGGCTTAGCAGAACCACAAGGCTAATGGAAACCACCTGCGCATTGTGGCTCAGCCTAGCCTAGCAGACGAATAAATACCTGTTTTGGTTAATGGAATGGAGAAGAGCTGTTGAACAAGTTTGTTCTCTGACGTTCTCAGGACCATGACGATGTCAGCAGGTAATGTGTCTCTATTCTTCTCCAGAAAGCCAAAAGCATCGTATAAAACCTGCATCAGAAACAGTAAATAAGCAAAAAATAAGCTGCCTGCTGTCAGTAACAGGGAGAATTTGCCTAAGGTGGGTAATTAGCTGTGACAGAGAGTGGTTTAAAAATAGACTTCTGAAGAGAATTCAAACCTGGTGCAGCTGTGCTTTCTAAATCTGGACAAGGAAGTCAAAATAAAGCACGGTGGATGTGCAGCTGCTGATGGGCCCCTTCACCTTCACTTCTTGTCAGAGACCTCTCCCGGTGAAGGACCAGTACAGCAACATGAAGATGAGAAGAGTTGGCCTCAGAGCCAGGAAGACCTGAGTTCAAGTGCCTCCTGTCACGCATTCTGACTCAGGGCAAGTTGCAACCTCTCGATGCTCTAGTTGCTGAGAATGTGCTGATCTGAATTGATAGAGAGTTTCCTCACAAAGAAATTTCTTATGCTAATTAAATCAAAGGTCAAGTCCCTGGCCTATCTAGTCAAGTGTAGAAATAAATTATTATTATTATTATTATTATTATTATTATTATTGTTACTACTACTACTGCTACTACTACTACTATTACTACCACTATCACTACTACCACTACCACTACCACTACTACCACTACTACTACTACAACTACTACTGATTAGAGGTAATATGGTGTTGTGAAGGAGCCAGGAGAGACCTGGGTTTGAATCTCATCCCTGATACTTAGAAGCTATGTGACTATAGGTAAGTCATTTAAACTCTTTGAGCCTCAGTTTCTTACATCTGAAATGGGAATAATAATAATAATAATAGTACCCACTTCACACAGTTAGATGGTGCACTGGGCTTAGAATCAGGAAGACTCATTTTCCTGAGTTCAAATCTAGCCTCAGACACTTACTCGCTGTGTGACCCTGGGCAAGTAACTTAATCTTGTTTGCCTCAATTTTCTCATCTGTAAAATGAGCTGGAGAAGGAACTGGCAACCACTCCAGTATTTTTGCCAAGAAAACCCCAAATGGAGTCACAAAGAGCTGGACACAACTTGGAATGACTAAACAACAACAGCCTATTTCACAGGCTTGTTGTGAGAATCAAATGAGATAATGTGTGTGAAGTGTCCTGTAACCAATCCTGCTAAGAAGTCGGTCTCTTGTCTATTTTTGGTAAAACCCTATGTTTATGTAACCTGAGTCCCACAGCCCATCGGTATGGGACTGTCTCCTGTCTTTGCTATTGTCCCCTCTTCGGTGGAAATCAATGCCCTGCTCCTGTGTGAGGGGCAAGATTGGGAGAGAGGAGACCTCTTCAGTCTCTCTGAGTCTCTTGAGTCTTTGATCTCTGTAATTGCTTCAGACATTTCTGGCTTCCAGCTTGAGAGAGAAGATGAATGATGCCAACCCCACCCAAGATTGCTGAGGGGAAAATAAGACCCTGGGAAGAAGCTGATGTGAGAAGAGCTGTCAATCTCCATCATGTCTCTGTCTCCTGCTTGCCATACTTACTAGAGGCTTCAGGGAATCTCCCCTTGGTTGAGATCTAGGACTCTCTTATTTGAGCGGAGCTACCTGTTCCCAATGAGAGAACTTTTACCCTGTATTGTCTGGTATATATTCTCCTATATGTACTCTCTCTGATTTGCTATTAACTTGGATAAATGGGTTTCTTTGCTACTTTCTATGTGTCTTTATTTTGGAACTGGTGTTTGATGGAAAGAGAGGCAAGGCATGGATATAAAGTTTGGATCCTCCTCTCCCCATGAAAGAAAGAGCAATCAAAAATTTAGCTTGAACCTGATAACCAAATTCTTTAGACTGATAATATTTAAGGAGTAGATAGACATTATTCTAGCCTGATCAAAGCAGCCAAGATTCTGGCTTCAACCTTCGGAGAAGGAGGTGAGGGGGGAGAAGAGGCTGGAGATGTCTATTCTGCCTCCCTTCAAGCCATACCACAATACTCTACCCTACATGTGAGGGACAGCTTTGCTACATTTATATAGCATCTTATAGTTATCTTTTTTAAAAACCTGGTATCCTTTTTTACATCACCTTCATTTTCCAATATATCTCACCTCACTTCCCTTTTCAATCATCCATTAAAATAAGAATATAAAAAGGGGGAAAGCAGTTCAACAAAAGTAACTACTATTAAACAAGACCGCCATTATATGCAGTGGAATATATCTGCACCCCTAATCTCCACACCTCTGCAAATAAGGATGGAGATGTATTTCTTATCTCTGCCATGGGGCCAAATTTGGTCATTTAATTTTGAAGTATTCAATTTTGGTTGTTATTGTTGTTCCTTCCAATGTAGTCATTGTGTATATGGTTTTCCTGGTGCTGTTTACTCTACTTTGCATCAATTCATATACATCTTCCTTTACTTCTCTATATTCTTTGTATTCATGGTTTATTATTAATTATTATTATTATTAATATTCTATTATTATCTATATTGTTTTATATTTATGTTTTATTTAATTATGATTTATGTATTATATTACATTATAGTTATGTTACTGTTATTACTATTCCATTGTTTTGGAGCTTTTGAGGCATTTCCTATGCATTATTTCATTTAATGAGACATCTCTTTGAGAGGGGCAGAACAAGTTATCTTACAGATGAAATCTCAAACTCAACATGTCCAAAGCAAAACTCATTATCTGTCACCCCCAAACCCACTCATCTTCCAAATGTCCACCATTCTTCCAGTTCCTCAGTTTGATGTTCAAGGAACTTCAAAATCTAACAGCTCCCCCTGCCCCTCACCCAGCCTCTTCTTGGTCTTCTCATACCGTATTCCTTGCTCTATACCCTTGCATCCAGTGACATTGGCCTCCTTTATGATCCACAAACGATATGCCATCTCTTGTTGTTCAGTTGTTTCACTCACGCCTGACCCTTCATCACCCCATTTGGGGTTTTCTCAGCAGGTGGTTTGCCATTTCTTCTCCCTTTCATTTTATAGATGAGGAAACTGAGGCAAACAGGGTTAAGTGATTTGCCCAGGGTCACACAGCTAGTAAGTGTCTGGGGCCAGATTTGAACTCAGGAAGATGAGTTTTCCTGATTTCTCCACTCCACTGGCTGCCCCTATACCATCTCTTAGATCTGAGCATTTCCTCTAGCCATCTTCCATGCTTGGAATGCTCTCCCTCCTCATCCCTGCCTACTGGCTTCCTTCAAGTCTCAACCAAAATCTCACATTAAGTTAGGAAGTTAGGAAGACTTTCCTCACCCCTCTTAATTCCAGAGTCTTCCTTCTTTTATAACGTATGTAGCATATTTGTACATATTTGCTTCTTGTATCCCCCACTAGATTGTGAGCTTCTTGAGGGCAGGGACTAGATTTTTGCCTCTTTTTATATCCCAGTGGGCAGCTAGGCAGCACAGTGGATAGAGTGCCAATCTTGGAGTCAGGAGGACCTAAGTTCAAATCTGTTTTCAGACACTTACTAGCTGTGTGACCTGGGCAAGTCACTTAACCCGATTTATCTCAGTATCTTCATCTGTAAAATGAGCTGGAGGAGGAAATAGCAAACCATTCCAGTATCTTTGCCCAAATGGCTCATGAAGAGTCTGACATGACTAACAACATATCCCCAGCACTTAACACAGTGTCTGACACATTAGTAGGTGCTTAATAAATGTTTATTTACTGATTGATTGGTGTTATCTTTGATTCCTAATGCTCCCTCACTCCACACAGTCCATCACTGGCCAAATATTGCCATTTCTACTTCAATAATACCTCTCACATCTAACCTTGACAACAACTCTTACATTTAACCTCTTCTCTTCACGTGACTACCATCTTAATCTCAGATCTTCATTACCTCTCATGGCCTCTTAATTTGGTCTCCCTGCCTCAAGTCTCTCCCCATCCCAGCCTGTCCTCTACATAGCTGCCAAGGTGATTATCCATAAGTGCAGAACTGGCTGTATTTTTCCACCACTCAAAAACTCCAGTGGCTCCTTATAGCCTATAATTGAATATCAACTCCTCTGTTGAACTGTTAAAGCCCTTCAAACCTGGCCTCAATCTATCTTTCCATTCTCATTATACGTGACTTCCTTTGCTGGACTCTGATTCAGCCAAACTGGCCTTCTGTCTATTCCTCACACACAGCACCCCATCTCCTATCTCTCTGTCATTGCACTGACCAATCCTCATGCTTAGAACACACTCTCCTTTTCTTTGCTTCATAGAATCCTTCTCTTCCTTCAAGAGTCAGCTTGAGAACCACTTTCTACATGAAACCTTTCCTGATCTCTGTCTGCTAGTGCATGCCCTCCCTCCCAAATTATTTCATATTTAACTTCCTTGCATTTATTTGTATTTATTCTCATAATAGCTATTGTGCGTGCATACTGATGTGCTTGTCTCTTCTAAAAGAATATGAGCTCCTTGAGAGTAGTGATTGTTTGTGTTTATATTTTAATTGGTCAGTTAATAAACATTATTTAGGCATCTGCTATGTGTGAGGAACTCTGCAAAATACTGGGGTTACAAAGAAAGGCAAAAGACAGTCCCTGTCCTCAAGGAACTCACTCCAGTCCCTACCATATTGCCTGGCATACAGCAGACAATTAATAAATACTGATTGATTGACTGAAAACAAAAACACAAGACTAAATGTTTTACGCAAGACTGTTTAACTAATAAGTAGCAGACTCAGGACTAGAAACCAGGGCTTTAGACTTGTAGTCCAAGAATTTTTACTGTGTCTTACACCATATTAACTATTACGGATTACAAAGATACATTTAGTACATTGTTATTACCACTTTTAGGGAAGTATAAGGTGGAAAAAGTACACTAGGAGACATCTAGTGGTAAAACAACCTTCACACCAATTGCTGAGGATCAATGAGGGATCCCAGACTGGTGGAACAGATAAATGTTTTAAGGAAAATACATAATGATGAGACACCCAAGGGCATTTGTGGAATGAATAAAGACTTCCTTAATATGTGTGTATACATATCTATCTATCTATCTATATACATAATACACACACATATGTATGTGTATATATGTATATGTGTGTATAGGTATATATGCATATATACCTATACACACACATATATGCATATATATACACATGTGTGTGTGTGTGTGCGTGTGTGTGTGTGTGTGTGTATATACATATATATATATATATATACATATACATATGTACACACTAAGTGAATTTCAATAAACTGGGGGGGAACAGGAGACCATATGGAATAATCTTCAGACTTCTATTTCAAGTAGCATTTTCCAACTGAGTGGCAAAAAATGATATGTAAACCTTTAAAGGTTTCCTGTTGCTTAGAGGGAAAAAAGCAAACTCCTTATCGAGACACTCATGGACCTTCACCACAGTCCCTAAACCTACTTTTGCAGCCTTATCATTCCCTGCTCTTCTAAAACTCTACAACTAACTATTTTCCACCAAATACCCACCAGCTTTTCTACTTCTTTGCTGTTGTTTATGTCATTCCCTATACCAATATTATCTCTTCTTTCCCACCTCTCACAATTCCTAAATTTCTCACCCTGTAAGGTCCAGATCAAATGTTATTTCCTACATGAAGTATCCTTTTTTACCTCCCCAGTTAGGCTGCTAAGTGGCATAGTAGAGAGAGCACTATATTTGCAATCAAGGAGGCTGGAGTTCAAATTCTGACTTAGACACTTACTAGCTGTAAGATCCTGCGCATGTAACAACTTTTTTTAGCCTCACCTTCCTCATCTATAAAGTGGGAATAATAATAGCACCCACCTCACAGGATGTAAGGACGGAATGAGATAACCCATGTAAAGTCCTTAACAAACCTGCAAGCACTATATAAATCTTAGCTATTTTGTTTTAACCAGTGTTATGATACATATATCATGTTCTGCCTTATACCACAGCTAGCTGTATATCTGCCTTATCCCTGCTATGAAAATGGAAGCTAATTGAGGATAGACACTGTCTTTACTTATTTTTGTATCCCCCTTAACACCTAGCATAGTGGTTTGTGCACAGCAGACTAGATAATCTCTTTTTTTAAATTAAATGTTATTGTTTTCAATCAGCAAAAATCTGTCTTCCTACCCACCCACTACCCATCTCCCAAAGGAGAAAGAAAGAAAACCAAAACCCCTATTACAAACATTTATAGTAAAGCAAAACACGTTTCTGCATTAGCCATGTGAAAAGAAAATATGTTTCATTTTGCATTCTGAGTACAGTACTTCATCTCTCTATTAGGAAGTGAATTAACTGGATAATCTTGAAAATAACCCATAGCTTCCCCAAGCCTCAGTTTTATCACCATCATGCTAATCATCATGGCTGACACTCTAAGGTTTGCAAAATGCTTTATGTTCATTTTCTCATGTGACCTTTACAACAATCCTGAGAGGTAGATATAAGGATCTTCTATAAATCAGACATAACACTGGCCTTACCTGACTCACAACATTGTTGTGGGTGTCAAAGCCCTTTTTAAAACTAAAGCATTATACAAAGGTAAGGTATAATGTGGTAGATAGTATAATATGATATAATTAGGCAGAATATGGTATGTGTAGATACAATGCTTGACTTGGACTCGGCAAGACTTCAGTTCAAATCCCCTTTCCCATATTTATTGGCAGCATGACCGTGGGCAAGTCACTTTAACTTTTGACACCTCAATTTCCCTATCTATAGAATGGAGATATCAATACATGGAGTACCTACCTCATGGGTTGTTGTGAGGCTATAACAAGATAATGTAGGCAAATAAATGTAAGCCATATATATTTTTAAAAAGGAAACTTTCAATGTCTGCCTCGACTTTGCTATTGGAACATGAAATTTAAGTTGACATATAATGTCACAGTAGTTGGATAAAAAGAAAACGATTTAGATTGTCATCAACAGCTTAGCCCAGCAGAGTTGTCATCAAAGGACCTCCATTCGAATCCTGACCCTGCTGTTAACTATCCGTGTGAATTTGAGCAAGTCAATGAACTTTTCTAAGCTTCAATTTCCTCATTTATAAAGTGAGAAGATTGGACCAGATGGCTTCTAATGTCCCTTCCTACTCAAAATCTATGACCCCATGTCTCCAAATATTTTGATGCTTGGTGTTGGGTAGAATAAACATCTGGACGTTTAATTGATTTTGTTGGCTTTTTATTTGGATGTTACGGTTCCCTGTAGGCCTTGCCTAAAATTATATCAGCCCTCCCAGTTTTATTCCCATTCCAGAATTACTTTAAAATTTGAACGTTCACAGCTAAACACACTGGGAAAAGATGTAATATGTTTGCTCTCTGGAGAGCTGTCACTTCTAGGCAATACCTCAGGTAAGAGGCAGATGGCCCCTCTCTAGGGCACCCCTGTGAGAAACTTGTTTCTATGCCAGAGGCAACTTTTGTGATCAATCCCACTGTGAAAGTTTGTGAGTTATGAGTAGGGATTCAAGAAGCATTTAAAAAAAGAAAGAAATCTGCAAGCAATTACCCAAGCTTCACAGATATGGCGATGTAGCCACTTATCTCTTGTTAAATTCAGACCCAATAACAGTCAAACACCTTTTACCTTTCCAGCATAGTGCTGAATGCCGAAGCATAGCTCCACTCGTTTTGGCCTCCAGAAGTATTTACATCGAAGATTATCTTCAAATTTATCTGTTTAAAGACACAAGCAAACCATAGCATGAAATACCCTTGAGAGCGTCTGGATCAGCCTTCCCACTTAAACCAGACACAGGGGCCTGCTAAGAGCCCCTGTACATCTGAAACTTAGATTTTTTTAAATTTAGCTTCTGAATAAAGAAACTTAGATGGTTAGATTCTAAATAAAGAGAATTAGGGCTAAGTTTGAGAGAGTCACTGCACTTGGATTAGAGAGATCAGGCTAGAAGGGGGGTGTTTCTGTTGGACATTTTCTTTGTGACTTCACCCCCTCTTTAGGCATCTGACTAGGCAATATTTCCCAGAGTTCATGGTTTCCCAGCATGATGCTGCTCCTGTTCTCCCTAAGAGCTCCCCACAAATGTTTTTTGCAATACCAGAGACATCACCAATTTACTTCAGGACAGAAGCTGTCCCGAGGGGATGAAGATAATGTGAGTTTTAATTCATCTTGGCAACACGTAAGATTTATAGGTGCTCAGGGAAATTAATAGAGGTGTCAATAGACTAAACTTTTCAAAAAATGCAGAATGCAATCTGCTATGTGAATAATCTCACCCACCCAATAAGGGAAAGGTTAGAAATATTCATTGAGTCTGTCATCAAGTATTTACTAACTATCTGCCAGGAAGACAGACAGTGCTGTACTGAAAAACAAACAAACAAACAAAAAACTTCAGTTAAGTCCTATGGGCATTTATTAAGCAATCATTACTTATAAGGCACTGTGTAAGGTGCCAGAGATAAAGAAACAGAAAGGTCCCTGTCCTCAAGAAGTTTATGGCATACTGGGGGTTGAGAGGGTACACACATCTAAGTAACTACAAAATATTCACAATATAAGAGACAGAGACAGAGAGAGAGAAGTAATAGTTGGATATCCATGATTATACAGTAATATTTGATTCCGTTCTTTAAGGATCTTATAATTTAGGTGAAGGGAAAAAAAAGCCACTAGGTGGTGCCGTGGATAGAACACTGGGCCTGGAGTCAGCAAGAGTCCTCTTCCTGAGTTCAAATCTGATTTCAGATACTTACTAGCTGTGTGACCCTGGACAAATCACTTAACCCTGTTTGCCTCAGTTTCCTAATCTGTAAAATGAGCTGGAGAAGGAAATGGCAAACCACTCCAGTATCTCTGCCAAGAAAACCCCAAATGGTGTCACCATGAGTCAGACACAATTGAAATGACTGAACAACAAATAAAATGAGGTTATGATAAAAAAAATAACAATGTAAGAAATATTAACAAGGTAGTATATGATTAAGCATGAAATGAATGAAACAGATAAAATTGTTATGATTCATAGGAAAGAGAAATCACTGTGTATTAGAATGGTCAGGGAAGGATCCATGGAGCAGCTGAATATTCAACAAGGCCTTTAATGATGAGTAGAAGATGAATAAACAAAGGAAACAGGGCAGCTAGGTGGTACGGTAGAAAGAGTCAGGCCTGGAGTCAGGAAGACTTGAGTTCAAATCCAGCCTCAGACACTCACTAGCCATGTGACCTTGGGCAAGTCAGCTTACCCCTGTTTGCCTCAGTTTCCTTATCTGTAAAATGAGCTAGAGAAGGAAATGTCAGACCACTCCAGTGTTTTTGCCAAGAAAACCCCAAATGGGTCACAAAGAGTCAGACATGACTGAAAGAACTGAACAACAACAATAAGCTATGAAAGCAGCCCAGAGAGAAAGAGAAAATAATATGAGTAAAAATGAATAAGTGAGAATAAAGGGAATGGACAGGAATGAGCATTTATTCAGCACCTACTATGTGCCAGGCCCTATGATAAGCACTTTACAAATATCATCTCAGTTGATCCTCGCAACAACTGTGGGAGATACGTGCTGTTATTAAACCATTTTACAGTTGAGGAAACTGAGGCTGAGAAAGGTTAAGTGACTTGCTTTTGGTCACTCACAGCTACTAAGTGTTTGATATTGGATTTGAACTCAGGTCTTCCTGACTACAGGCCCAGCACTATATCTATGGTACCATCTAACTGCCTCAATGAGAATCATATGTTTGGGGAGCAGTGAATATATAGATCAATCTGGCTTCTATGAAGACAACATGGAAGAAACTAATAAAAGTTATGGCTGAAAGGGGAATTTGGAGCCAAACTGTCAAGGGCTTTGAATTCCAGGCTCTATCTCTAACCTATAAAGAGTGGAGAGTCATTGGAAATATTTTAGCAGAGGAATGATGTAATAAAACTAGCATTTTGGGATGATTAATCTAGCAGTCATGATCAGGATGGAAGTAGAAGAGAGACAGACATAGGAAAACTACTTAGGAAGTATATGTAATAATTCTGGCACGTAATAATGAGGGTTTAGACTATGGCTGTGTCAGTGAGTGTGGAAAGGAAGGTTAGGGATGGGGACTGAACCTGGGATTTTGTTGATCTAGGGAATGCTCAGGCAAGGAAACTCCCTTTACCATTTAGGTCGACCACTTTCTCAGCAAGAGAAGGTGAAAGACTTCCATGGGGTCACACAGTCAATAGGTGTCAAAGGAAGCACTGGGGTGGAGCTCATCTTGACTTTGAGGCTGGCTCTCTGTTACTGGGCCACCCTGCCTCTCAGAAAGGGTGGGCCAGATCTGAAGAAGACATGATAAGATTTGCTGACTGCCTGTGGGAAGGGAAAGAGGAGTCAAAGATGAATACAACTCTCAGACCTTGGTGACTGGGATTCTGGTAGCTCTATTTTCAGAAATAGAAAAGTCAGAAGGATTTGGGGTGGGTGGGTGGAAAGGATGAGTTCAATTTTAGACATGCTGAGTTTAGGAAGATGGTAGGGCATAAATGTTACTTGTCACTTGCTAAATGTTCTAATTAATTTTAAAGGGGGCTACATTTTACACACGTATTACTAGCTGAAAAAATTACAGGATATGTGAAGCTTTATGTTAGATCCCCTTGCCTTGAGGAGGTGAACAGATGCCACATTCTGGACTGAATGTGTGTTCCTTTCTTGAAAAAATACATACCAACTAATGTCAGGTCTGTTGCCTGGGGAAATCTGCTTTCTTCATCAAGGAGAGAAAGCAGTCCCATTGGTTTCTGGAGAAACATATCCAGGAGAGGGCGATTGTCTTCATATTCCACTACTGTGGCATCAATTCCTTCATTCTGATATTCCATCTGTTGGATAATTTAATAAGAATACACAAAATCCCTTTCTCCCCCATCCCTACCCCCCAACACTTGACTGGTTAAATTACAAACAACATATCATTTTGCTGTGAAGTTTCTAACAGGAAGTGCAGCAGAGTGAATAGAGAGCCAGTCTCAAAATTAGGAAGCTTGGGATTCAGGTTCTAGCTTTGACCCGCTGACTGTGTGACCCTGGACAAGTCATTTAACTTTTTAGTTCCCAAGTAGTCTTTCAGAGAAGGTGCTAATGTACATAGGTAGGGGGAGTTCCCTTATCCAGGAGTACCTCATATCAATGAGATCACAGGTACCATTATGGTCCCTGTCATCATCCCTGTGAAATTTCTAGTGAGTGATAGCATTAAACTTTCTGTGATAAAGTGCCACTGATATTTGTATGCTTTCTTGTGTGCAGAAATGTTTGTTTGGCTCTGCCTGTTAATGACTTGTAGCAAACAACTGATTGTTGATAAAAAGGAGATGCTTGTCTATTTCTCCCAAGAGAGATAGGGTTTTTAGAACAAAAACAAAGAAGAGTGAAAGGGACGGCTAGAAGAGGAGGGAGGCTGATGAGAGGAGAAAGCCTTTTCATTAAGCATCTGATTTAGACCAGGAGGTAAGATTTCTCTTGCAATGGAGTGAGTCAATCTAGCGTGACAGACTCAGAGAGAATTAGATTTCTCAAAGAAGCAGACAAAAAGATTTTTGACTGGGAATAGATAGGATTGGGAATTGGCAACAGGGACTGGGAGAGGAGGGAGCCCTGGGTAGATTTATCCAGAACAACTGAAGAAGCTATCAGAATTTTCTCCAAAGGTGGACCAAAGGGCACTTGGTATTTACTTTAGGTCTTGAGAATGTCCTAACTAATAACTAGTTTATATGTATCTCATCCTCATTTCTTTTTCTTTTTCTTTTTTTTTTTTTGGTGAGGCAATTGGGGTTAAGTGACTTGCCCAGGGTCACACAGCTAGTAAATGTCAAGTGTCTGAGGCCATATTTGAACTCAGGTCCTCCTGACTCCACAGCTGGTGATCGGTGCTCTATCCATTGTGCCACATCGCTGCCCCATCATCATTTCTTCCAGTAAAGTGCTATACATGAGAAGACTGGCCAGAATGATTTTTCTTATCATACCATCTTGTTATGTATAGAAGGAAGGGTATCCCAGAGGAAGGTCTTGGTAAATTCTCTAAGCTAACGACAAGAGCAACCCTGAGCAATAGCAAAAGCAGGAAACTAGAAGCCAGCTCATTGCTACACCCAATACCTTCTGTTTTACTTACCATCAGCCTCATAGGGACTTAATTCCCATCTCTAGAGCACTAAGGACATTCACTGCCCTTCTATGGAACCTTAAAATTGAGCAAGACCTCTAGCAAGGGTGGTTATTGAGGGCAACACAATTTATGGTATGGGGGCATTGGTGGGGTGTTGAGAGCAACAAGGAACTAGGTCCTACTTGCAAGCTCATCAGTCCCATTTTAGCTAATATCTTACATATTTTCTAATAGAGTGGGGGTGGGGGGGGAGGACTATGACCTGTGGAATTAGTCCACAGATAAAGGGATTTTGTTTTGAAGGAGTATTTAAATAATTGGCTTGTCACCAGTTCCACACACGTAGGAAACCGCACCTTTCTAAAAAGATCTAGACTTCTCTATTTGGGTTAAATTTAGACTATTTACATGTTATTGACAGGAATTTTCTATTAAAAACAGAATCTCCTCATTAGCCAGCCCATTTTCTCCAAAATCTTACCTCTTCAGCCTCTCTACCAGAGTTTTTGCTTTGGGCCGTAGGCAATTTGGAGGGAGTTTATCATCTCCTACCCTCAACACTTCCATTATCATATTTAATTATTTCAGAATTCAATTTTACCTGCTCAAGTGCAAAAATGTGTTGGTTGAAATAGTACTGGATTTGCTCATTGGCAATGTTTATACAGAGCTGCTCAAAGGAGTTTCTCTGGAAGTTCTCAAATCCAAAGATATCCAGAATCCCAACATTCATCCCACGCTCTGCACGGCTGCATGGGGAAAAAAGCATGATATCCCTCACAAGGAGAAAGCACTTCTGGACAGCAGATAAAATGCGCACATTTACAAACCTGTGTGCATGCGTAGGAAGAACAGATTCCCTGCTAAATAGAACTTGGTATACATGGAGAGACCATATAGAGATGATATTCTCTCTCTGTCTCTGTCTTTCTCTCTGTCTGTCTCTCTATGTTTCTCTCTCTGTCTCTGTCTCTCTCCCCCCAGTTGCTCTTGTTTTTTTTCTTTTCTTTTCCTTCTTTCGGTCTACACGTATGACCTCATCAGCAGATGCCTACATCAGGCAGGTATTCACCTATTTAGTCTTTGGGGTTGCCTGGAGTCCTGAGAAGTTAAATGACTTTTTCAGGATCATAGAGCCAGGAGATGTTAGAGGCAAAACTTGAATCAAGGCCTTCTCAACTCCCAAGGTCAGCCCTGATACTGCTACACTGTACTGCCTCTCATTTACTCCTATTGGGTTTGACATTCTCATCTTTTTCTATTACATGACTGACTTCCCTGAATGGGTGTTGCCTCAGACAAACTGAGACCTGGGAAAGACCTTAGCTTAAAGAGGCCAAGGTCTCTCACTGTTTCCAGGGCCATCTCCAGTTGTCCTGATCTGTATCTTGCCACTGGACCCTGATGGCTCTGGAGGAGAGAGTGAGGCTGGTGACTTTGCACAGCCTCATTTGAAGCCAATTCACTTGCAAGTCAAGACATTACCTTCCTGATGTCGTTCTCTTCAAGAATGAAGGACCACCACCATCACCACCACCACCACCAACAACAACAAACTGCCCGTGGGAAGAATAAGTTATATGCTTCCCTTGGGAATAAACACAGTATGGAATGAGACCTCATCAACTTGTTGTAAGTAAGGGTATAGCCAGCTATGTCTTACTAAGAAAAAAATAAAGAACAGATGATTCCTGTTTTAAAGTTCAAAATATACATGTCTGTTCCTTTCTCTTGAAAAAAAAATCAATAATGCTATCTTCTGAGCAAACCTCTAAACTCTCTGTCACTCCCTTCCTCTCATCCCTCTTCCTCTCTCCCTCCCCTCCCTCTCTCTCTCTCCCACTCTCTCCTCCCCACTCCCCCTCCCATTTTCCCTTTCCTGTCCCCCTTCCTTCTCCCTCACTCCCCCTCCTACTCTCCCCTCTCTTTTCCTTATTCTGTGCTTCCCTCCTTCTTCCTCTTCCTCTTCCCCCTCCCTCTGTCTCTCTCCTCCCTCTCCTCCCCTCCTTCCATCCCCTTCCCCTCCCAACACCCTCTACCCACAGAGATGCACACACAGACTTGCCATATATTTTTGTCTGGCTGTAACAGCGTGTTGATGCGATTTACAATCCAGCTGAAAAGCCTCCCATACAGGGCTTTCGACATGGCATCTCGGACGTCAGCAGCTTTGTCCACGGTGTTGGTGCGGATGATGGTTTCCCCTCTGGTAACCACGCAGTGTGAGGTGAGAGCCTCCTGGAATTCCTCTGAGCTGATGCCAAGCAGGGTGGCAGCTGGAATACAACAGAACCCAGATGTGGGCTCGAGCCCAGGGCCTTCCGAAACTGTCACCAGCCAGGGCAGCTGCAGCCACAGCAGTAGTAGCAGAAACAGTAGCATCATTAACACGTACTAGGAAAACACAGGGCCTGAGCATCAAATAGTTACCATTTTCCAAGGCCACTGAATTGGGCACTTCACTCTTATCCGTCTGGTGTTCCGAAGATATTGATGCAAACTCGATGTTCCCAGTGTTCAAAATCGCTGCTAAGATTCTGTACACAGAATGCACCTCCTGAAAAGGACACCAAGAACCATTTTTTTCTGAATCATTATTAATCAGACTACAGTAACACTATAGTTCTCAAATTCTGATTTTTGCATTGTTTTCTTAAACAAGGAGAAAAACTTAATTGATTTTGAATGTGATTTTTATGGAAGGGGAGGGATGTGCCTGTGATGCCATGAGGTTAAAATAAAGGTGAGCTGTAGGATCTCAGATCTAGAATTGGGAAGGGCCTAGAAGCCATTAAATCTACCCCTCCACACACGTTTTACAGATAAAGCCCAGGGAAGTGAAATGACTGGTCCAAAGCTTCATTCCCCTCCACGATGCTCTGATGACTCATCTCCGTAGGACATAGTCTACCATGCCATAAAAACCTCTTTAATCTACAAACTCCTTTTGCCCTTGGACTGCTTCTCTCTTTGGAAGTACCCTCACCCCTGAGGCCTCACCTTCCAATTGGCTGGTTCCTTTTTCCCCTATTTTCAGGAGACCCAGGCCAAAGATGGCTTTTAGTCTTCCTCAGACCACATGGCTGACTCAACTCCTCTGCTTGGGTACATTCCACTTCTCTTCTTCAGCTCCCTTTTAATATTATCTTCCCTATTAGAATGTAAGCTCCTTAAGGGAAGGGACTATCTTTCTTTCCTCTTGTATTTGTTTTCTCATTATTTAGCACAGTGTCTGGCAAATAAGAAGGTTTAATAAATGCTCGTTGATGACTGAAGGTTACATGGGTAATAAGCATCAGAGGTGAGATTTTAACCCAGGTCCTCAAACTCCAGAGTCCTTGCTCTTCCTCATGGACCCTGCTGCCTTTGTAATGAACAAGATGTGGGAGTAGAATAAACAGCTTAAAGAGAAAAGGATAAGCCCCCATGTTCACGATGGTACGAGCAAATAACATAGATGTGATAAATTCATTTTATCATTCCACTGTATTCATGGGTTCAGAGATGGGAGGAACCTTAGAGATTATCTAGTCCACGGGTTTTATCCTCTTTTGTTAACCTCTTAGAAGTTACCCTGTACTAGATCTTTGCTTAACCTCCTAGAAGTAGCTTGGTATTGCAATAGAGAGAGCTCTGGACCTAGAATCAGAAAGACCCAAGTTCAAATTCAGTCTCAGATACTTACTAGTTATGTGACCCCAGGAAAGTCATCTATCTTTGTCTACCTCAGTTTCCTCAACTGTAAAACAGGGATGATAACATCACCAACCTTCCAGGGTTATTGTGAGGATCAAATGAGACAATATTTGTAAAGCACTTAGCACAGTGCTTGACATACAGTAGGCACTTAATAAATGCTCATTCCCTTTACATTCTCCTTCCCTTTTATGCCTTGACCCCTTTGGCAGCCTGGTGACCCTTAGAGATTCCCTCTCAGAATAATGTTTTTAGTGCATATAATAAAATATATAGGATTACAAACAAAACCAATTATATTGAAATACAGATATTAAAAGAGCAAATTCAAGGACCCCAGGTTAAAAGCCCTTCACTAGTCCAATTTCCCCATTTTACAGAAGAGGGACCTGAAGCTCATAAGAGTAAGTTTCAGAATAGGGATTTGCAACCCAGATTCTCTGATTCTCTCCTGCACCATGTTCTTTCTGCCTGTTTCTCTGTAACCAGCAATTCTACAGCCAAGAAATATTTCCAGAATAAAAACACTCAGGCGGAGATCTATATTAGTGCTAAAATAAATAGCTCCTAAATGATGATGCCCCCATGCCTACAGCATTCAGATAAGCACAAAAAACAAAAACAAAATAAGTAGGAGCCAACCCGTCTGCAACAGTGCCATCTGCTGGCTGCCTGGTAATATAGCAAAGCTAAATGAGGATTTTCTTTTAAAAAGTGTCTCCGCTCTAGGAAAATATCAGATTTAAATGAAAGCCAAAATGGCCTTTTCTGAGTTATTCAAATTATTATGTTAGTCATATGACTTAGGCAGCTTTTTTTCGGGGGGAAGTCCACAATGGTGGTGGTGGTGGTGGTGGTGGTAGTGGGGTGTGTGTGTGTGTGTGTGTGTCTGTGTGTGTGTGTGTGTGTGTGTACTCTGTGTGTATGTGTGTTTTAGGGAGGGCATTTTACTGATTCTAGAGCATGTGAAAGTTCCACAGTTTAAGCTCTCTATTGATGAATTAAGCCATAGTTTCACAGTCTCTTACTAGGCTCAGTTTCATTCAGTTAACCACATTAAATCAGACTCCCACCAGGTTGCCTAATACATTCCATTCAACTCAAGTCAACTCAACTCAATCCATCAGAAAGCATTTATTAGGTGCCTATTATGGGCCAGGCATTGTATTAGGTGCCAGGGAAACAAAGATAAAAACGAAATATCCCTGCCTGTAAGGAGCTTATGTTCTTTCAGGAGATAAGTATACATTAAGTATACAAGTATAACCCAAGTCCCAAAGCCCATTGGTATGCCAGGGCATTAATCTCCACCAGTGAAGAGGGAGTCCCATAACAATGGGCTTTGGGACTTGAGATATATACAAAATTTATACAAAATAAATACAAGATGTGTGTGTGTGTATATGTGTGTGTGTGTATATGTGTGTGTGTGTGTGTGTGTGTGAAGACTAGGAAAGGCTTGAGGACAAGTGAGCCTGAGCTCTAGAAGGAGGTAGGATTCTAAGAGGAAGAGGTAAGGAGGAGGTATATTCCAGGCATTCAAGAGAGTCTGCAAAAGGGCCAGAAGAGGAAATGTGGCGTGAGGAGCAAGAATGCCAAGATGAGAAAGCATATGAACGAATATACAATGAGCCTAGAAAGGTAGGTTGGAGCCAGGTGGTGAGGAGCCTTAAATGCCAAACCAAGGAGTTTGTGTTTGATCCCAGAGGCAGAGCTTTCCTGAGTAGGGGAATAACATAGCTAGATTTACCCTTTAGGAATTTCACTATGGCACATGGAGAACTGAGAGGCATTCATCAAATACCTACTATGTACAAAAAAGGTACAGTGTTCAAAGAAGAGAAACAAAGACAAAAAATAGTCCCTGCCCTGAAGGCACTTAGATTAAACTTTGGAAAGTACAGTGGGTATAAAAATAAGTATAATGCCAAGTAATTTGAGGAGGGAGAGAACACTAACAGCTAGGGAGAAGGGATCACAAATGGCTTCATGGAAGAGGGAGTCCCTGAACTGAGCCTTGCAGAGAAGACAAGGATTCTGAGGGGTACTGATGAAGATGGATCTCATTCCAGGTAGGAGGGACACTTTGTTCAAATATCATTGAGCAGGAGATGGAATATCCAGTTTGGGAAACAAGCCCAGGTTGGCTAAAACACAGAGTTTGTAGAGAAGAATAGTATGAAACTGGGTTAGGAAGGGAGGTGGAAGCCAGATTACCTAGGGCTTTAAATGCTAGGCTAGGGAATTTTCATTATATACTAGAGACAATGGGGAGCCACTGAAGATTTTTGAGAAGAGGAGTGACATGGTCAGGCTTGTGCTTTGGAAGATTATTTTGGAAGGTACATGAAAAATGGACTAGAAAGGGGAGAGACTGGAAATGGGGAGACCAATAAGTACCATTATAATAGTTTAGTACTACTATGGTAGTACAAAAATAGTACCAATAAGTACCAATAGTCCAATAAGATCATTATAATAATTAACACCAGAGGGGATAAGAGCTTGGATTAGAGTGGTAGCATCATTACGAGTGGAGAGAAGCTATATCCCAGAGATTTTTTTCAAAAGGGAAGAGGACCTATTCATACAAAAATATTTATAGCAGCTCTTTTTGTAGTGGCCAAGAATTGGAAATTGAGGGAATGTCTATCAATTGGGTAACGGTTGAACAAGTTGTGGTATATGATTGCAGTGGAATATTTTTGAAGTAGAAGAAATGACAAGCAGAATGATTCAGAAAAAAAGCTGGAAAGACTTATATGAACTGACACAGACTGAAGTAAGCAGAACCAGGAGAACATTGCACACAGCAACAACAATATCATTCTATGAACAACTGTGAATGACTTAGCTATTCTCAGCAATACAATGATCTAAGACAATCTCAAAGGACTCATGATGAAAAATGCTATCTACTTCCAGAGAAAGAACTGATGATATCTGAATACGGACTGCAGCATACTATTTTTCACTTTCTTTCCTTCTTTCAATTTTTTTGGTTCATGTTTGCTTTAACAAAATGATTAATATGGAAATAGGTTTACATGGTTGCACAAGTATAACCTATATCAGGCAGCTTCCTATCTCAGGGAGGGTTGAGGGGAGGGAAGAAAGGATAGAATTTAGAAATCAAAACTTTAAAAAATCCAAATGTTAAAAATTGTTTTTCCTTGTACTTGGCTGGGGGAGGAATAAAATATCATTTTTTAAAAATAAATGGAGAGAAGTATATGATAAGAGAGATGCTGTGGAGGTGACGTTGACAAAATTTAGCCACTGATTAAATGCATTGGGGGAGAGGGAGAATGAAAAGGAAAAGATGACTCCAAGGCTATGAATCTGGGTGACTGGGAAGAGGAGAGTGGTAGCATCAAAAGAAATAAGGAATTTAGAGGAGGGGTGGGTTTAGGATCCAGAAATGATCTGTGCATTACTCTTTTCACCTCTGTGACACTACTCTCCATTGGTCGTGTTCACCCTTTGTCTGACCACTCTTCTTCAATTTCCTCTCCCGAATCATTATTCATCTCCCAGTTATAACTTGGATATACTCCCAAGGCTTTGCCCCGGGCTGTGTGTGTGTATGTGTGTATGTATGCATGTTTATAGATATATATTATGTATAGACCTATATGCGTATATGTGTATATACATATGTGTGTGTGTGTGTGTATATATATATATTCTGTTATTTCATGAGCTTCCGTAGCTTCAGTGATGCAGATGACCCCCAAATCTATGTACCCCATTTTAATCTTTCTTTCAAACACCCAAGGCCCAGCTGCTTATTAGATATTCTATACTTGAGTGTTCTATCAGCATCTCAAACTTAACAGATCCAAGATAGTACTCATTATC